AATGTACGTGCTGATTGAGATTTCCGAGCGGCATTCTCCATTATCGGAACACATCGGATCTGCCCGTAGAGATGAATCATTCTGCAAGGCTCACGAAACATACCGAGTGGCAACCGCTGAACTCCCTACATCCCCGGATGTAACCTTGTAAAGCAGCTCACTTTTAATGTTTTGAAAACATAAACTGATAAATCAAATTAATAGTGTGAACAATTTATCGTTCACCTTATGTAATTTCGGTGGTGATGGTGGCAACACCATTAGCTAAATAATCGGCGCATGTGCTAGAAGGGGCCTACGGCTCAACCAGTTATACCTTTGTACTCTATCGCGCTGGAGATATTGCGCGGCCTCACTTAGACTTGCAGAAGTCTCTTGGGAAATGATTTGAAGATTAAATCATAATTCTTAGATTATTTGTAACAAGTTGTCCATATAAGAGACTGGAGCCGTGCCCTCCTGTACTGTCAACTTATGAAGGATAGAAAAAATAAGTTATCATTCAGTACAGCCTTGGGGCAAGGCTAGGTTTCACTGTTATCCGAGGAGCGCACAATTGATTCGTGTCTTTAAAAAATGATAAAATCCCCGTCACTTAAAACATTACACAGGCTTTATTTCATATCATTCAATAACTGCCTTAGATATGCCAATACAGGTTTAACGATATACCGAAAAGACGGTGCATCGCGATGAGATCATCGCGGTGAGATCAAGCATCAATACATGAATAAATCTATTAATTGCATTTTTGGTGTTGTCCGAAGTGATACGGCTGACTGTTGCTAACAGCGGCATCACACCACACCCTCTCTCTTACGTGTATTGTATAGCCTTGCCTTTAAAGTGCTGGCTCGTCGCGCCAAAATCCGGGTTCGAGCGCCTGCCTTGGTGCATTTTGTGCAGGCGATTGTCCAGACACCATGAATATTGCAAAAGCGGCGTAAAATCATACTCGCTCCAACAATCCCGTGATCAATTCCCCACAGCGATGTGTGAATCCCATTTCTGATGGCCCAAGCTGTCATATTGGTATAGGTGGAGTAAAGCCAAAATCACTTACTCAAAAGAAGAATTACCGCCTCCGTAGCCAAGTAGTAGAGCGTCCGTGCGGAGTGAGAAAGGTTCGGGGTTCGATACCAAAAGACGATAAAGTTGGTACTGGTTACCCTACCTGGCGCTCGGCATTAAGGGCCTAAAACAAGGACTTGTCGGCTTCAAGTCAATGTACTGTGTCTGAGTGGGGTATTCATGTTAAACTGCGGCATGGCATCTCGGTGGGCCCTCACTATAAAATCGGAATCAGTCCGGGTAAGTCAAAGCAGCCAGATACATACACACGTGTATGCACGCCGCTGTGTAATCTTGGACGCGACGTTAAACCCCATTTCACCTCATCTCACGCCAAAGAAGAATTAGTCAATTGATTGTGGTCGCACACACCATCAACTGTGAATGAACTCAGGGAATGCCTGCTGACAGAGCCAACCTTTCATTGAGTCAACCTCTACCGACACAAACAAGGCACATGTGTTCTGGTGGTGTCAACGCAGCAGGTCGAGCAATCAGCAGTCGGATCATGGAAAACTAAAAGCCATGCACGGTGTGTGGAGGCCACTAGCTGCACTTTACTTTAAAAGCCGTTTGTTTGCCCCGCCTCGCCGCAGATGGATAGCCGGCAAGGCATTCTGGTAACCATGACAACGGTTCCCTTTGTACAACAGAAGGGTGTTGTGCCAAGAAACTCCACCGTGGCTGAGAGGATTGCATCTGATGAAGGAACATGTATGAAGCTTGATGGCTGACACATACAGAGCATGTCTTAGTTAATGAGCAGGATCTCGGATACGCAGGCCACTCTGTGCCAGGATCACGTTAAGCTTCTGGAGAGCTACTACGTTTGACACAGGCCTGAGAGATGGCTTCATTTAATTAAAGTTCTTATAACCGGAGAGGTTATTATTGATATGAGGCATCTGATATTCAGTTGAAACAGACCAAGCATGGATACAGCTGTTTGGGAATGGGGGTGCATTCAAAGTACAACGTGCTAGACGTATGCAAATTATTCGGAAACAAATTTTGTTTGGTACTCGTGTTTGTTGTTGAAATTATACTATAATATACTTATAATAATATTCTGTATGTGTTTACATGCTTAGTATGCGTCAAAAAAAAGGATGGGATAGGTGCGCGGCATGGGTGCGATTCTACACACACCCCACCCAGACACCCCACCCTCTGGATCGGCATGTGTTGGGCACTGTGAACCAGAGTATGTCAAGAATGTAGCTGGTGCATGTGGGTCAAGTCTTCAACAGATAGACACTTCGGCCATTAAGTTGAACCTTCAACAGATTTCAGCTCAAAACAACATCACTCAAATCAGCTGTCATAACCATGACACATTAAGCACAACCAGTTCCATAATTGGTGATATATCACTAGTCCCCTTGAGAAATTCCGATATCAATATGAGGCATGTACATACTTCGGCCCCCTGTTGATGTGACATTTACATGTTTACAAGCGTTTTACACACCCATGGCAGACAGGTCGGGGGAGGGGAAGGGGGTGGGGAGGCGTGGATTCCTCGAGGCATGAGGGACGAGATGCGCGGATATTGACAGAGTATGTCTGATACACCCGGGTGAACAAGTACACAGAACTGATTAGGCACTTTAGCTTCACGTTTGGTCGGGTTCTGCAAGGTCGAGTTAACTCTGGAGATGTCTGTTTCAATATTGGTATCTGTAATCAGACTGGAGTCTCTATATCTCTATAATCACAGCGGCAGATCACAAACAGCAATCAGGACGCTGTCTATTCTGACAACTATAGCGAGGAGGGGTATTATTGTTCACGAACAAATGCACCGTCCAATTTTGCAAGTCAGCCCTGGTCAGAATCGGGATCCTCGTATGTCGTATTGATTCCGGTCTAAAAAGGCAATGGTCGTTAAGCTGGTTTATCGTTCATATTGGATATACATAAATTTTATGAATATATTGTTATACAGTTTGACCATTCGGGACTGTCAGAACAAGGTACTTTAGCACAATTATGATATCTAAAAATAGCTCAATGATGGGAGTTTATTGGGGCGGCTTGAGATATAGATTATTTACGGTACACCTGCATTGGCTATGTCGTGATAGTATCAATTTTCTCTTGAATAGAGGAATAATTCATAATGCATAATGATAATATAACATTTCTCAACGTCATCTCCTTACATGCTAGTTATCTTGAAATGGAGGGGAACTTGACGTTCATGTCTAACCCTATAACCTGTCTTATATCCAAGAGAAGAGATAATCAAAGACTTGAGAGACTGACAAATCATATACAGGCAGGGAAATCCATAGGCAAGGGAGGTCGTGCCACAGAAATATCAAATAGTCAAAACTCAGGCAGTGACGTAGACCATAAGTAAATGCTTTGGCACATTTCCTCGTCATCTCTGAAACTACAATGTTCATAAAGTCTAGCAACAGTGATCACAAAGTCTAATTACGCTGTTTACAAAGTCACAAACCAGCGATCCAGATAAGAAGGGAGCACGTTTTTTTGTGCGCGACAGTTGGTTGTGTTGTTGCGCTCCTGACAGGCAATTATCGTAAACATGCTGTTTTCCAACCAAATGCCAATAAACTATCTGTGATAGAGGCAATCTGTGGTTTAAGAGGCTCCGTCTATCTTTTATAGCGTGGCGTGTAGTGTCAACACTAGAGAGACATCACTCTAAGACAACATAAATATTGCTAGCTGACAGAACATGTTATTTAGTACACTGCACGCAGCGGAAATTCGTAAGAACGACGCTATATTCGACGGCAGAAACCGAGACGAGTTTTTGTTTGTATTTCCCCTTTATTTTTTTTCGCGTGGAATGAGCGGTGCGATATTCCTGTGAAAGGAATAGGTGAGTGAGTATCTTTTTATGCCGCTTTTCGCTCATCATACCAAGGTTGGAAATCGAACCCGGGTTGGTGGCAACGGCTTTGAACACTGGACTACCCTACACTATGGATGAGTGGGTGAGTATGTGGTTTGGCGATTTTGACGGGTGACTACGGTCGGCACACAATGTATCGATATGATAAATCGAATAGGTCATCGGAGTGACAACGTAATAGTTTATCCACTAGACTATCACACCTTCCTCACACCAAGAGGCTGTTTTAATGACACACACAACCGTGTATATTTCAAATTGCATCAATGCGGTGGGGCAGCCATGTGTTCAAAGCCTTCGGTCGTCAGGCCGAAGACCGGGTTCGATTCTCCAGATGGGTACAATGTGTGAAGCCCATTTCTGGTGTCCCTCGCCGTGTTATAACTAGAATATTGCTAAAAGCGGCGTAACACTCTCTCCATAACAGCAAAGACTTAAGAACAGTGAACCCCCGTTAATCCGGACTGTTAGTAGCCAGTGAAATCGTTCGGATTAACGAATTTCCAGATTTATATTTGGTTGCTTATGTCCCGTTACTATAAAAGAAGTTCCAAACAATAATCGTCCGGAAGACGGTCCAGATTAACGAGGTATAAAACATTACTGCACATGCCTCACATCATCCGGGTATGCCGAAGTTTGGAAATCCTGAACCTTTATCTGAATAACTACACGTGATCAAGATATTATAAATGCGACGTGTTCATTTTAATACAGATTTCAACACGTGTGACAAGAAGCATTATCAGTTTTTGATATACATTTGAAAAGAGGTTACACTTATGACAACAAATTCGCTGTATGTCGGACATAAATATCTATCGAATCAACCAGTAGACCTTCCTCTGTCGAACGCTGTGTATATAAATGCTGTTTAGCTAGTCTGTATATCGAACAGAATCACAGGTACCAGCATACATAGGAATTCTTGGTTAGAGAGGAATGGGCAAAACACGCTACAACAACAGAACACATCTGCTGAATCGACTTAATGACTAAGTGCTATATAGTTTCTCCGCCTCCAAGAACACTGCGTACCTACCTTAGTTATACAAAACACAGCGCTGTGTATTTTCTTTCATAAAACCAATCTTTTAAAGAAGTATGTCATATCCCACGTGATAACGGTGCTATTGGCGAAACAGCTGCATCGGCATCGCCACCACGGGATGAGATGAAGGCAAGGGATATATGCCAATGGGCAAAAACTTCCACCGAGCCTCAACAGGATGGCTTGGTAGAGAAAGGCAGCATTGTTGGGTCGGCGGGAGCAGCGACAGCCAGGAGCACGTTGGAATGCAGCTTGGATTTCAGTATACCGCCCAGTTACCATTGGAAACGAGAGAAAAACAACTAAGAGTATTGCCAAACAGACATTTGGTACTTGTTTCTGATATGCCCAAATCATCAAAAATGCTTTAACATTCTCAGTAAACGCTGAGCAAACAATGGCTGCCTGGAGAGTTAGATAGAGGACATAAATTGATAGATGTAATAGTTCCACCGTTTCTTCCACTGCGAACTGGTGGCTTGTCTCGAGAAAGATAGCGTTTTGATCACAGATGAATGATTATCTAATGGATATTTCATAATATGCTTGTGGCACCAGATGATATTTCCGTTTCAGTAAGAACAATATATTGTGAGACTTAGAAACGACTAGGTTTTTAATAGATATAAATGAGCTATGAAAGGGAAATTTATTTTTATCCTAAGATTTGCCTTTCCTCATCAAGAAATTTGATAAAATATTGATATTAAATAATAAATTCTTTTAGACATTATTCTAGACAGATTTCTTTTCGTGGTTTAAAACGTTCACCGCGGTATGGTGCTGACAAACCTAGAAACAATCTGGGCTAACCTGGATTTGAACCCACAATCAAAAGGTGTCTGGTGCGCGTAAAGGACACAACTCTCCACAGCGACGAATGTGCCACCCTTACTCCCTCAAATGACCGCATCGTGGAGGAACCGAGGTCATGATGACACAAGGCAACATACCAAGTTTCAGTGCGGAGTGCGGTACACACTAAAATATGAACCTGGTTACCTATAGTAACATATCAGGAATTGTGCACAGAGTGCATGTGCTTAACGCAGCCAGTATCTGCACAAGAACAAATCTGAGATGCTTCTTAATCATAAACATCATGGCGTCTGTGTCCGCATCAATGTGCAGTAAATGTACCAGCGCTGTGAAGACTACCGGTACCCCTGAACTGAAGAGATGTTCAGACATCCGGGGCCTTTAGACATCAATGAAAAACACTATATCTTCATGTGAAATCTGTTTTTAATATTCCCCAAGAGGAAGCCAATCCGGACATCCCTTCTTTCACCGTCTGTACATAATTACAAAACCGATATTTTTATGTGTGAATACGCATGTATGATTTGATAACTTCTGTCCTTCGATTTGAGTGGGAAAGACAACTGAAACGTTATTTCTACACAATCGGTACTGATCGCCCGTATTTTATTTCATAAACGGACCCGGTTAAAGTACTCCGGGTTCAGCTGTTTCTGTTTGGAGAAGAGCAAGTATGCTACCACTCCAACAAAACAAAACACAGGAATGCAGTCTACTTGAAACGTTGCCATAAACGAAAGACGAACATACTCAGTCACTACCAAACCATTGTTTAAGTGTCCTTCACAAATACTAACTTTTTACTGCCAAAACACCTATGCTAACATACTGAGCACTGGTCGCACGCCATCAAATTCTTTGCCGGATGTAACACGAAGAGTGTCCGGATATGGACGGTGTGAAAAGAAAAAGTATCTATTTAATTATCATTTTGAGTTATTGGCGAAGCGTTAACATATTTAGTTGTATTATCAACATGAGTACAGGAATCCGACCTGTGATTTTTATTCAAAGAGTTGTAAAATATCTGACATTTTTTTCTGCGATAAGCATCAATATGCAGCAGAAAGGATTCCGTTTTCAGTCGATAGACACTTTTAACAAGATCGCTTTTTGTGTAAAACTTGTCACCACGACGTGAAAGTTTTAGAGATGTGAAATCTAACAACAGCATTATTTTACAGAATAAAAGCAGGAAATAGCGATATGATAGAAAAAAACACACACGAGATGAAATACCAACCATAAACCATAGAGACGGACATATTTTACTTATCGCCCCTTGCACGTGCTCACTTGAGCAGCTGCGCGAGTTCTCGCGAGAGTTTTCGTGCCTTGATCCATAATCCTGATGTGGACGAACAGTAGTTACACACTTCGTCCGTCTCATCCCCTTCCAAACCCCACAGTTTCTCAATCCATCTTCCCCAGCACGGTAGTCTGTATGTCTTCAGACCATCCACACAGATGCGTGATATATGAAGCACACGTATCAATCAACCAGTGGCATAAAATAGTATTTAACGGCATGTTTACGCCTCTTACGCGTTATCTGTAAGCGATAACACGTCTCATCTGGGGAAGATTATTTCACGTTTTGTGAATGTATCAATGAGAGGTATTTTTAATTCAGGTTTCGAAACATGACTTACAATAAAACTGACTATGCCATGTCGTAGAAAGAAGGTAATTGAGAGCAATCATGATGTCATCTTTTTAATCATTGTTCGTAACTATCCGTTCTGCATACGTCCCCATCACCCTTGAATGTAATGTGTTTAAGTGGCATTTTAGAGTGTGAGTGAGTCAGTGAGTTTGATATTACGCTGCTTTTAGCAATATTCAAGCAATATCAAGGCGGGGGACACCAGAAATGGGCTTCACACATTGTACCCATGTGGGGAATCGAACCCGGGTTTTCGGCGTGACGAGCCAACGCTTTAACCACTAAGCTACTCGACCGCCCCTAGTGGCATTTGAGAAGTTGCCGTGTCAGTGAAGACCGCGTTGGTGTATGGGTTTCAATTTCTGTATTCTTTCTGTACCTTTATCAAACAGATGTACCGAAACGCCACATTGAAATCTATATACGTCACACTCACAGTTGAACGTATCTCAGTATGTGTCCAGATCGGATTTACGATCGCAATTGAAAAGGTCATCAAGGTCATCACTGATGCGCATATTTGTTTTCGCAACACGCGAAAATTGAAACCATTGCGACATCTCGCTGGTCTATTTAAATCAGACTACAGTCGGACACTGTCATAATAAACAGTGGTAGGAAAATATGGCCGTCAATCCCAGAACGAGGCTGCTGAGTTGTTAAAAGAAATACCCTGCAGGTGTGAGTAATGGTAGGAATGGAACAGGAATGTCGACAGTCCCTCCTGGGTTGAATGAAAAAGTAAAGATGAGTGAGTATGGTTTTACGCCGCTTTTAGCAATATTTCAGCAATATCGCGGCGGGGGACACCAGAAAGGGGCTTCACACATTGTATCCATGTCGGGAATCGAACCCGGTTCTTCGGCATGACCAACGAACGCTTTAACCACTAGGATACCCGACCTCCCCAAAAGTTGTGAAAGGTGAAAACTTAAATGAATTTTCATAACAAAGTACGATAATACGTCAATACTGCATCCTTTTTCACATGAGTACTGTAAAGAAAGTAGTTCTTAATCCGTGAATATAATATTACGTCGTATCTCGTTTTCGGTATGCGTTTAATGTGATGAGGTTTCGAAACGTGTAATGTTGCGTCCGATGTAAGACTTGTCCATCATATATAATATTGCACACTGGCTGCGTGTATACACTTGAGACAGACCATACAATCATTCGCCTTTATCTGCGCACATGTAGCCTATACGAAGAGTAACGTGAACGACATTCTGACCATCTGTTTCTTAACACGTACTGCTGGTGTTAGAAATAATATGAAATTGCGGACTGATGACTCAGTGATCTCAATAACATAAGACACTTTCTCTCAACCGTACCAGGATCCGCTGAACGTTGGTTACAGATTCTTCCTGATAACGTTCCTCAGTATGTTAACGTCGAACCCGCTGTCGTTGTTTTCACGTCACATTTGACCTTTTTCAAACAATATTCAAACACACTTGACATAAACTGGGGAGAAATAGAAACTATACCTTTGATTTTATGATATGTTTAATTTTAAAAAAACTTAGCGATATTATATATTTAAAATTTAAGTGTATGAGTGCTTAGTCAGCACTCAAAGACTAATTATACATTGTTTCATTAAAAAAGATATTTGAAATACCCTCTCCAATACATCATGGTATCACAGATTAATTATAGTAATGTGAAAGAATCGAGTGTTCTTTTACTTCTTTTGAGTAGCAATACTGATATACTGTCAAAGCGGCGTTAGGCCCAACTCACTCACTCACACAAGAAATTACATCTGGACACGTTTGAAGTAAAAACAGTTCTTCAAGTCGGAGACAACCTTGGTGACTGACGAACATTCCATAGGTCAATCGACAATATTTTGGTTTGCAAACAACGGAAATTGTGCATTTTCCAACTGGCAATTATACAAAGTGTATCCTCTCAAGGGACGATGTCACATAGCCGTATGCATAAGAACAAAGCTTCCAATAAAAACTGTTTGAAATCACATAATGGCATGTAACTGTAATAATTAGTTACGCGACACGCCCGTTCCACCAGCGACATGCCATAAACCTCGTACTTCGAGGAGGCACACTTCCGAGGAGTGCTTCACACTCGAGTGACACTAGACGCTTTGAAGCGCCCTCTTCCGACAGAGATCTTGCAACAAGTGCGAGTACCCGGGACTTGGGTCAATAGGAGATAGCCTTTAGAAGTGGTACATGCACCTCTAGATACTCTCTGCAAGTCTCGCTATCTTTGTTGACGAAAAGGTATGTGAGTGGGTAACATTTGTAGGGAGTGCCTGATATTAACCAGACTCTGTCGTCCTGGAACGTTCGAGACTGTTATGTAAGAATTGATGGAGGTATAAACGTGAAACCGGTGTGCACACTGAGATTCGCTTCACAGACTGTTAATTTAATCATTAACACGCACATTAAATTGTGGACAACAATACGAAATCAGTGACATCTTTCAGCGCAAAGATGTAACACAAGCCCCGCCCATTCTATGATCAGCCAATCAAGAAAGAGCAGTCCGTTAGTGCTTGTGTCCCATATTATCGGTTTATGGAAACATAAACGCAAAAATTGCTTTGCTATCCAATCAAATACCACGGAATTGCTTGCAATTTATGTATTAATGTTG